GGGCGGGGTGGGGGGAGAGGAGAAGGCTGGCTACATAGAGAAAAAAAATTCTTTAAAGATTTACAAATATTAATATAAAATAATACTTTAAAGTGGTGATGATCAATAGGGAAGCTTTGGGAAACTTTGGGAACATGTTTTGATTGTCAGTGGGATGGGGGGGCGGGTACTACTGGTAATAGGGTGCCTTACATCCCGCAATGCACAATGCCCGGGTTGATCCTTCACAGCGAAGAATTACCCTGCATCCCCCACGACTTGCAAATGCCCCAGGAGACATGCACATAAGTGAAAAACCTGTTTATCATCACCCAAGCTTAGAATCTAACGAATACTGGATGTTACAGGTAGTGATGAATCACCAAATTCTACTCCTGAAGCCAGTATTACACTGTAGGTTAACTAGAATTTAAATTAAAAATATTAGAATTTAGGGGCGCCTGGGTGGCTCAGTCGGTTGAGCGTCCGACTTCAGCTCAGGTTGTGATCTCACAGTTTGTGGGTTCGAGCCCCGCGTCTGGCTCTGTGCTGACAGCCAGCTCAGAGCCTGGAGCCTGTTTCAGATTCTGTGTCTCCCTCTCTCTTTGATCCTCCCTGGCTCAAGCTGTCTCCCTCTCTCTCAGAAATAAATAAAAAACAGTTTTTAAAAATATATTAGAATTTATTTAGAATTAAATAATTATCAAAATTTATTAGAATACAAATGTTCAAATTTATTTAGAATGAATTATTAAAAACTATCTAGAATTCAAATAAAAATCAGAAGGAAAAATAGAATATAATTATTTATTAAACATGCACACACAAAAGGGAAGTGTTCAACAGTATTGATCTTCCAAATCATAAAATAATTCGGTTCCTTGTAAAGTATTTAAACATTACAGAAACAATGTAGAACATAGTATTTAGGAAAAGTAAATCTTCCACCCTGCTACCTGTTATGGACTGAAACCTTAGCTTCTAGAACCTCACTCAGAATGTGACTCACTCACTCAGAATATTTGGAGACAGGTCCTTTAGAGAAGTAATTAATTTAAAATGAGGCTGGTAGGGTGGGCCCTAATCCAGTCTGACCACTATCCTCATAAGAAGACGAAATTTGGACACATGAGGAGAGACGGAGGGAAGACCACATGAGGACACTGGAGAAGCCTGTCATCTGCAAGCCAAGGAGAGAGGCTCCCAAAGGAACCATACCTGCTGACTTCCTGATCTTGACCCAGAACTATGAGAAAATAAGTCTCTGTTGTTTAAGCCACCCAGTCTGTGATATCTTGTTGTGGCCGCCCAAGCAAAGTGAGCAGCCACCCCTCGGGAATCCTCCAGAATCTTTCTAGGTACATACTAGCAAATGGCACAACTGTATTTCATAGAAAGTCATTGCTTTGATAGATACATTTTGAATACATAGTACTTTCAGAGAGGGTATCTTGGCGTGCAAAACAAAATCCCTGCTAACATGAAATCATACCAAATATGCAAAAAGCAGCTTTATCTGTTCAGTTTAAAATGTACCTTAGGTATCAGTCTATGTCTGTAGTAGACATAACAATCATTTATTGAGGGCTTTGTATGTTCCAGGCACTGGAGTAAACACTTGGCGTGCAATGTCTTACTCCCCGTACCTCCAAGCCAGATGAGATAATATAGACTTGAGAGCCCTTTGGAAACTCTAAAGCGCTAACTGCGTGTCAAAAGGATCTTTCCCTCACAGTGGCCTTCACAGATTTACCGACTGGAAGCCATCAAGCCTGGATGGAGCTGTTACTCACCACGTGTGAGGAAACTGAGGCTGTTAATTACCTCTCTTCACTTCTCCTTTATATTACATTTACAGCCATATCACAATTTTGAAAATTACATCTGTGGGTCAGTTATTATACATTTCACTTCAAGGTAGTCAAGGATGCATGACAACACGTCACCTACAGAAAAGTGCTGTATCTAAAAACCAACACTTTAGGGGCGCCCGGGTGGCTCCGTTGGTTACTCGACTGACTTCAACCGGGTCCTGATCTCACGGATCCTGGGTTCCAGCCCCAAATCCGCGTCTCCCTCTAACCCCTCCTCGCTCTCACGTGCACATGCGCTCATTCCCTCCTCTCAAATTAATTAGTTAATTACTTAATTAATTGATTAATACCACTGCTTTAAGGACAGCAACTTGGAATAAAATCAGGAAAATGAAAACCTTTTTATGTATCTTCTTCATTACCCTATTTTTTTTTAATTGCTATTCAGTTTCTTTCTCTTTCTTGGCTAACTGGCTCCAATTTATTCTTAGTCTCTGCTGGTTTCCAGGGCTTTTTTAAAAAGCTCCAAAAACTCTATACTTGTCTCTTAGAGATGTTAAATTTTCTTTCGTCTTTCTTTTGCTCCAGCCCAGGTTTAATTAGCATGTTACTGTGGACTTTCTGGTTTTGAAAAGCTAGTGATACTTTGTCCTTTGTACATGTCGGGAGCTTGTAAACTTGGCAAAGCTTGGAAGAAGGAAAAATCACAGCTGCCCCACTTAATGCACAGCACTGGTAGGAATCTCCAGTATTTCTCTTCCCAAAGGAAAAGGCTTCCCCACTTATACCAGGTATGTGGCCGTTTAGTTAGAAGTTGTTCGCTTTATTACATCCGCTTGCTTGCTGTTACTAACAAACAGGGTTTCCTGTTGATTCCCTCCCTTGCTTCTGCTTTTGAAAGAACTCATACTCTGTTTTTAGAATTTTCTTTAAAAACTAAAACACTGTACAATTTTAGCTTTAGTTTAATTTAGCATAAAATGAAAATGTTATAGAATAAGTCACTTGTGGTCATTTTAGAAGCAATGGAAACGGATTTGCCTTATAAATTGATGGATTTTTGAAAAGTTATAGCAGCAGATAAAAATTCCTAGTATGTAACTTTCTATATAGCGAGTTCAGTGGCCTCAAGAGCACATGTATTTTAGGATCTGAAATTGAAGCTATTTGTTGATTATTTAGGAAGAGCATTCTTGTTCCACACCTGAAATGTAGCCTTCTGGTGGGACATCAGTTTTGCAGTATCTGAATTGCTTCATTAGAATACAGTAGGGTTCAGGCTTATTGACGTGTGTAAAAATACTTAATAGATAAATTATATTTTCCTATGTAACTGGGGACCCCAAATCCTGTTGGGTTTTAGTAAAAGTCTCCATATTCTTTTTGATGGAGTATAAGATTGCTCAGACTTGGTTCTTAGCTGTTCAAGAGACTCTGTTTTCTTCAAGCTGGTGTTTAACCATCATAGTCTAAATCTGACTCACCCTTCCCGACGCCCCCCCCCCCCCCCCAAGATAGTATTCCCCTTGACTCGCAAACACCTGAGGAATCCTGGTATACCAAGAGGCCAGTTTCCTATCCATCTGGTAAGGCAACTGTTAGACTTCCATACAGAATAAGCTGTCCTCTCGTAAAACCTCGTCAGTGACTTAGATTTTTTCTCCTGGATTCCACGGGGAGACAGAAGTCTAATGTCTAATAAGAGATACACATATCAAGTTAAGTGTTTGCTGATTATTTGGATGGATTTGAGAAAAGAGAGAATCAACGCCGAAATGTCGGTTGGCATGTATCCAATACCGTCCTAGAAAAACAGAAGCTTTCTTGAGCTGAGCACTCAGTCATGTTCAGGGACAGGTGCTAAATGCATTGACTTTCACTTGGCTGCTTCACCATATTTGCCTGTGCTTTTGGAATGCCCTCTTCACTTCGTCCTTGCTTCCATACTTCCCTATCCGGCAAATACTGCCAGAAAGATCTTTCCAAAACCCAAGTTTGATCATACTGTTCTCTTCCATGTGTCTCCATGACTGAAACAATTGGTCCCAGCCTTCCTTTCCAATGTCATCTTTTGTTAGTACGACAAAGCCTCACCCACCAGTGATAGTAACACATGCTGTTCCCTAAGCACTCTGTGCTCTTCTATTTATTGCTGGGCCCAGAATACATTTTTACCACTGTCTCCTCCTTTACATTCAACTAAAGTACCATCTCTCAGAAGGTATTACTCATTCTCCCAGGGCTAACGGAATAATAACTTTCTCCCCTGTGCTTCCCCTGGCCCTCCTACACGCCACATCACGTGTTAGAATTAGTCCTCAGCGTTGCCCCATTATGAGCTCTTACAGGGACTGAGCAGATTTCCTTAAAATCTGGACCCTCAGCATTTAGTACAGTGCTAGACATACTGTAAGTCCGTGCAGGCAAGGAATAGCATTCGGCGGGAGGATTCTTTTCTCTCCCACGGTCTAGATGAGAAAATGAGACGTCCTTAAACCCATCCAAGTCCCTTTGTTTTCTGGGGAAGGGTGTCTTGAATGTCCATGAGGATTTTGTCCGCTGGGAAGGTATTAATGAATCAAGTGACATAATTGGTCTGGTTTCTGTAGGTCTCTCGAATTTTTTTTTACCTGAAAGAGAGAAAGAGACAGTGTGAGCAGGGGAGGGTCAGAGAGAGAGGGAAACACAGACTCTGAAACAGGCTCCAGGCTCTGAGCTGTCAGCACAGAGCCCGACGCGGGGCTCGAACCCACGAACCGTGAGACCGTGACCTGAGCCCAAGTCGGCTGCTTAACCGACTGAGCCACCCAGGCGCCCCTTGATTTTTGTTTATATGAGTCATTTCGACAGAACTTGATTGCTCTGATGGAACAGAAGAAATAGAGTGCCCGAACACAAAGTAAGAACCTATTAAGCACCAGGAGAACCCACAGACGTAGGCCTTGTGGGAACATTCAGATGACTGTTAGGTTTTCCTGTTTTATTTTATTCCCTCCCTGGAATTTTGTCTTCCTGGATCTGATGAATACGGGGACCCCTGTGGGATTGCTCGTCGGTGCATGGCTTTAAGTTTTATATGGCCAACATCCCTGGACTATCCAGTGCGGTTATTGCCTTACCCGTTTTCATGGTAGTTTCTTTGGTTTTCTGTAACGCGTGATTGTTTCCGGTTCTGTTTTTCTTTTGTTTTCGGTCAATCACTTTCCAAATTGGAGATAATTCGGCTATCCCTGACGCATCGTCTGGGATGTGACTATTGCTTTGACATTCGCTGAAAGTAAGGAGTCTTGTTCAGTATTCTTTCATAATTTATCCCAGACATTTTGGTTATTGAATGAATTCTTTCAAATGTGAAAGTAGTAACATTTTTAAGTAGACAGTTGACCTTTGAACAATGCAGGGATCGGGCTGCCAACCTCCTGCACGGTCAAACATTGAAACGTAGAACTTTGACGCCTCCAAAACTTAACTAGCCTGCTTTAAAAAATATATATATATTTATTTTTGAGAGAGAGAAAAAGAGGGGGGAAGAGAAAAAGAGAGAGAGACAGAGACAGAACATGGGTGGGGGAGGGGCAGAGAGAAAGGGAGACACAGAATCCAAAGCAGGCTCCAGGCTCTGAGCTGTCAGCACAGAGCCTGACAAAGGGCTTGAACTCACGAACTGCAACATTGTGACCTGAAGGAAGCTGGATGTCTAACCAACTGATCCACCCAAGCACTCCTAAGCATCTTGCTTTTGACTGGAAGCCTTACCCATAACATAAATAGTCAGTCGACATGTAGTTTTTATGTTATGTGTATTATATACTGTATCCTCACAGTGAAGTAAGCTAGAGAAAAGAAAATGTTATTAAGAAAATCATAAGGAAGAGAAAATACATTTATAGTACTTTACTGTAAAAAAATAAACAAACTGTGCACAAGTGGACCCATGCAGTTTAAACCTGTATTGTTCAAGAAACAATTGTATTTTATTCACAGCTGTGACTAGAGCACCTAGACTAGTGCTTGGTAATATTTATTAAATATCTCAAATGAATGTGTGAACCTTTCAAGTCAAATCCTTTAAATCCCCCAATTCCAAGTACTGGTTATAATACATACACAAGTTGATTTTTTTTTCTGTCATCGAAACCAACAAAATGTTTATCATGATTTTTATAGGAACAAAACTATTAAAATATGGTGTTTTTTCAAAATTTTTAAATAGTTTATTTATTTTTGAAACAGAGAGAGGCAGAGCATGAGCAGGGGAGGGGCAGAGAGAGAAGGAGACACAGAATCTGAAATAGGCTCCAGGCTCTTAGCTGTCTGCACAGAGCCCGATGCAGGGCTTAAACCCACAAAGTGTGAGATCATGACCTGAGCTGAAGTCAGACACTCGACTGACTGAGCCACCCAGGGGCCCCTATTAAAATATGTTTTTAACATTCTCTTCTGGGCACCTAGGTAGCTCAGTTGGTTAAGCCTCCAACTTAGCCTCAGGTCCTGGTCTCGTAGTTTGTGGGTTCAAGCCCCACTTCGGGCTCTGTGCTGACAGTTCGAAACCCAGAGCCTGCTTTGGATTCTGTGTCTCCCTCGTTCTCTCTGCCCCTCCCCTACTCATGCTCTGTCTCTCTCTCTGAAGAATAAACATTAAAAATATTTTCTCTTAAAGAAGAATTTTTTTTTAAAAAAAAGCAAATTGGCTCTTTCCATTTGCGTTGTAGGATCTGAAAACTGTTTTTTAAAATATGAAAATGGAATGTCTGTATTTAAATATTTATTCCCCCCAGCTACTCCTTATAAAAGGCTAATCCATTTTGATCACTAATGCTATTAGGAGCCTTTGTGTTTTCCAGAATTAAAGGTAAATTACTTCAGTACCTGATACTCCTGTTATAAAATAATCTTGTGTTTGCCAAGAGGGACCATGACGCCAAAAAGGACAATTCCAGGAAGTGGGCCCCAGCATCCAGAGCCGTAACCAAGCCCCTGCCAACACTCAGTATTTAGGGAACTGCAGCCTCATTTCAGGAAGCCATGCTTTGAGGCAGCGAGCAGATGGTAAGGTCACACATCATAAGATGCTGACTCACCAAAAGTCCCTTTCCAAACCTGCGGAATTAGAGGAAGTAAACACCTGACCTGTGTCTCTAATACAATACGTAAGCGTCATACTTTACAGTTTGTGATGGTAAAAGCAGGAAATTCAGAGAACAAGGCAATGTAATTTCAGTACCGCCCAGCCGCATCTATATGAAAATCACATGTGTATAAAGTGAATGATTACTGAATATATAATATATATTTAATATATTAAGTATTTACTAAGACGCTATACTAAACACCAAAGGCCACAATAATAGAGTTCAAATTCCCAACACAGCTTAAATTGTAATCATTTTATGGGCACCTGGGTGGCTCAGTCTTCTGAGCATCGGACTTCCACTCAGGTCATGATCTCACAGTTCATGAGTTGGAGCCCTGCATCAAGCTCTCCGCTGTCACTGGGGAGCCTGCTTTGGATCCTCCACCCCCCATTCTCTCCTTGCCTCTCCTCTGCTTGCACTCACTCTTGCTCAAAAATAAACAAACTTTAAAAAGATGTGTGTTTATGGGGCACCTGGGTGGCTCAGTTGGTTAAGCGTTCGACTTCAGCTCAGGTCATGATCTCACAATTCGCAGGTTCAAGCCCCACGTCAGGCTCTGTGCTGACAGCTCAGAGCCTGGAGCCTGCTTCCCATTCTGTCTCCCTCTCTCTCTGCCCCTCTCCCTCTCACGCTCTTTCTCTTTCTCTCAAAAATAAATTAGTGCTAAAAAATTAAAAAATAAAATAAAAAGATGTGTTTAATCATTTTAATTTGTGGAGATATTTAAGACATAATTGTCATCACTTACACGAATCTCAGAGTTATCATGAAATTAAATCATAAAATCGTGACGTTTATTGAGCACTTAGATTGTGTCAAATACTGGCTAAGGGTTTTACATGGACGCTGTTCTTTTATTCTCATTGAGTGGTAATGTTGTCCTTGTAGATTAAGAGCCAGCAAGATTGAGCCAATATCTGCCTGGCTCCAATCCCCCTCCTCTTAATTACGGTGACCTTTACCCCTCAGACCTCCCCCTAGAGGGCGCACATTGGAGGCTGCCCCCAGAGCTTCACCAGAGACCTTTCTTTCCCCACGTTTCTGCCGAGCCCTGGGGCCACCCACTGCAGTGGTTTGCTGGGGCTGCCATAACAAAATACAGTAGTCTGCGTGGCAGAAACAACAGAAATTTGTTTCCTCACAGTTCTGGAGACTAGAAATCTGAGATCAAGGTGTCAGTAGGTTTTATTCCTTCTGAGGCCTCTGTCCGTGGCTTGAAGCTGGCTGCCTTCTCCCTGTGTCCGCACTCGGTCATCTATCTCTTCGAGCACCCAAGCTCCTGGTATCTCGCCACTGTCTGCATCTCCTCTACTTATAAAAACATCAGTCATGTTGGATTCGGGTCTACACTGAAGACCTCATTTCAGCTTAATCACCTCTTGAAAGTCTTGATCTCTAAATATGGTCACATTCTTATGTAATGGGGATGAGGACTTCAACATGTCAACTCAGGAGGAATACATTTCAGCCCGTGGGCTCTACCGTGTAAACTACTTCAGCTGAAACTCTGTTCCAGGCGTGGCTTCCTGGGAACACAAACGACTGTGTAACACATGGAGGACATTGTTTGGCACACAGCACTAAATATTCCTTTAGCATTTTTTGTAAAGTGTTGTTGTACTGGTAATGGATTCTCTCAGTTTTCATTTATATTAAAATGCCTTTGTTTTGTTTTTATTCTTTTTGTTTATAATTTTTCTGAAATCAATTTATTTTGAGATAGAGGGCATAGTGGGGAGGGGCAGAGAGAGAGGGGAGAGAAATCCCAAGCAGGCTCCTCCCTTTCAGCACAGAGCCCAAGTCAGGGCTTGAACTCACCAACCATGAGATCATGGACCTGACCTGAAATCAAGAGTCAGATACCTAACTGATTGAGCCACTCAAGCTCATTTTTCATTTTTATTCTTGAAAGGTATTTTTGCCAGATGTAAAATTCTAGGTACTTTTACTAGATACAAAATGGATATAAAATGCCAGGGTTTTTTTTTTTTTTTTCTTTCAGCACATTAAATAGGCCATTTAATTGCCTTATGGCTTCTAGTAAGAAGTCAACTGTCATTATGTATCATTGATGGTCTGTTTATAATGTGCCTTTTTTCTCTGATGCTTAACAGATTTTAATTGTGGATTTCAGTAGTTTCATAAGGTTGTGCCTGGGTGTGGTTCTCTTGGTACTTAATGTACTTGGGGTTTGCCAAGCACCTTGGAGATTTCACCAAATTTGAAAACACTTTGGCCATTGAATCTTCAAATTTTTAATCATTCTCCCCCCCCCCGCTCTCTCCTTCTCTGTCTCTCTCCCTCCTCTCCCTCTCTCTCCCTCTCTCTACCTCCTCTCTCTCTCTCTCTCTTTCTCTCTCTCTCTCTCTCTCTCGCTCCTTATAGGACGCCATTTACACACAATGTTAGACCTCTTGATATTGTACAACAAGTAACTAGGGCTCTGCTTATTCTTTCCAGACTTTCTTCTGTTATTTTTCTTTTTTTTCTCAGATTGGGTAATTTTATTGTCTATGGTATTAATTCATTCTTCTGTTGTCTCCAATCTGAAGTTAAGACTATTCAGTGAATTTGTAATATTGGGTATTTAATATCTAGTTCTAGAATTTCCATTTAGCTATTTCTTTTTAGTTTCTGTTTCTCTTCTGAGATGTCCTATATGTTTGTTCATTAAAAATATATTTTCTTTTATATCCTTAAGTATATTACAGTAACTGTCTTTAAAATCTTTGCTAATTATAATCTGAGACCTCTTATTGATTGTCTTTTCTTTGAGTATGGATCACTTCTCTTTAGTAATTTTGGATTGTGTGCTGGACATGGTGAATTACACATTGCAGAGACTAAACTCTGTTTTCAAGAATGTAAATTTTTATTACAGAAGATAGTTAACTTGGCAGAACTCAAGCTCCAAAGTGATTGTTCTGTGTTAGGCGGCACCTGAAATCTCTGTTCAGCTCTCTCAGCCTTAGAGAGGCAGCTTGGTTTCTGCCCTGCACACATATAGCACAGGGATCAACCAGATGTTCATGTGGAGTTTATACTCATAGATTGCGGACCCTGCTATGGCTTTCTCCTTTCTGGATTATTCTCTTTCACATTGTAGTTACTTCAAGCACTGACTCTGAATACTTAA